GGGTAGAGGCAGGAGGCGGGGCCAGGCCTGGGACAGCTTTTGCATATTCCCTCCCAGAAGCCTCTGCGACGGCAAGACAGTGTTTGGGTAGTAAAGGAAGCCTCACCTGAGGATTTTACGAGTCCATGGTACTCAAAGTGAGCGTGCTTGTAGAAAGTGTTCTTTCCATAGCACCATAATAAATATTGCTGGATAAAAGAGGAAAGTCACGTAACTGAAAAGTAATTTTAATTTGGAGCTTTAAATATACACCGCCGGACACAGCTGGTCGTGCTCGCTTCGGCAGCACATATACTAAAATTGGAACGATACAGAGAAGATTAGCATGGCCCCTGCGCAAGGATGACACGCAAATTCGTGAAGCGTTCCATATTTTGGTTCTGCGGGGACACACACACACTCACACACCCGTGACCCGTCCTGTCCTCTCTCAGGCGTTGCAGCCGGTTCTTTTTGGAACTACCGCGTGCCAGCGGCTTCAGCCCCACGCTCCAGACAAGCAGGAGCTGGAGAGAGGGGCGCAGGAGTCAGGCTCCGCAGAGGCCGCCTGGAAGGACCCTGGTCACCAGCGCCCCAGGACCTGCGCACAAGCCGCGCTGACAGCTCCAGGCAGTAAATGCAAGTGTGTCCCCAGGGAGTACGCGGGCAGCCTCAGGGGAGACGAGGACGTGGGGGGCGTGAGCTGGGCCGGCGGCCTGCTGCCAGAGAACCTGCGGGACCTGCTGGGTCCAGGAGCGCGAGCTGGTCTGCTTCCCTATGACAGCGCCCTGGTGGGGTACAGAAGGCCCCCAGCAAACGCGGGCTCTGGATTCTCTCTCTCTCTCTCTCTTACACACACACACACACACGTCACCCCAGGTCACGTGCTAGTTACGGAGAAGAAAAATGTCCCAACAGAAGCCAGGCGGGTGTTCCCTCCAGACCTCACTGTGGGGACTGCTGGAGGTCCCTGCAGGGGCAGAAGGGAGCCCCCAGCTCTTCCTGGGAAGGCCAATCCCATCTCCGTCTGGGGGTCCACCCAGCGGTCCCCAGGGCTTTTTGTCACCGATTTGTGTGTAAATAGCTACAGGAAAGGGCCCAAAGGGCAGCGCTGTCGTGCAGTCCCAGGGAACAGGGCGGCCCGCCAGAGCCAGGGCAAGCTACACTCTGGCGCCCTGGACCCGACCCGGGGGAGGGCAGGAGACTGCTCCAAGTCTCAGCTTGGGGGCAGCAGGTGGCGTCGGTTACCAGGGCTGGATCCCTCATGTCCTATACGTTCGAGTCCCAAAGCCGGCATCTTGAGAAACATGTGGGGCATGGGACCAGCAGTTAGCATAATGGCTATGTTGCTGGACTCCCACATAGTCGGCTGTGGTTCAAGTCACGACCCGGTGGCTTAAACTCACGCCGGGCGCGTGTGCGTGCGTGCCCAAGATCCTAAGAGGAGAATGGAGAAGGGATTGCGGTGTGGCCATCCCCCCCTGGGGAGTGATTTCTCGGTTTCTCTCTCTCTGTCTCTTTCTGTCTGGTGAGCGCACGCGCCCTATCGCTAAAACCTCTCCAAAAAAAGAAAAAAAGGAAAGAAACACGTGGGGCTCGTGTGCGCATGCCCATGGTCGGGGAGGAGCGTGGGAAAGCGGTTTGCGGCGTGTACATCCTGGAGTGCTTTCGCCCTCCCCTATCACTGAGCAGGTGGCCTTTGAGCAGGGCCCAGTGAAAGTACAGCGAAGGGCCAGGTGGAAAGAAGGACCGGCAAGGCCCTGGGCAGGGCAGGTCTGACGACCTGGGCCCAGCGGGTAGAAGGGCGGTGGGCCCGGGGCAGAGGGGAGCGAAGGGGGTTCGGGACGGGCTAGGGCTCCCTCTGGTGGACATGTGTGGTTATCACTGTCGTGGCTTCCCGGTATTCACGGTCCCTCGCACCTGTGTCCTCTGGCCGACTCAGCAGAGCGGATGTGCCCCTGAACCGGGAAGGCAGAGAGCCCAGGGAGCCTCGGGCCCACCGCCCGGGTGCCCAAAGTCCCCTTGGAAGGCACTCCTGGGGTCCTGACACCCTGCAGTCCCACTCAGCCCAGGCACCTTGGGGAGGGCATTACATGGGAGGTGACTGCAGTGAGCCCCCGTCCCCGGGTCCTGGCTGCATCGGGAGCTCCCTGTACCAGCCGCCAAGCACCCCCAGGACAGGGGCCCAAGATGGAGGTTCAGGGGGCACCAGCAGCCCCGGGTCCTGCAACTTTGGACCCCAGCGTGTGGGCACACCACAGATGACCCACCCTGGAGTGGACGGGGTGAGCGCCCAGCGGCAGGGCCCATTCCTTTTGAGGGAAGACGGGGTCCCGGGCCCTGCCAGGCTCCGGGCTGCAGATTTCGCTATCTGCTGACTCGAGCAGTCCTAATCTCTGGGCTGGTGCCGCTGAGCACGCCCCAAATGCTGATGGAGCCTCCATTGCCTGCTGCAGACACTCGGGGGGCCCAGAGCCCCAGGACAAGGGCTGGCACCTACCCTGTGGGTTCGCTGCCTGGGTAACACAGGGCAGTCCCAGAGTCCTGCCACTCAGGATGGCGGTCTAGAGGGCTGCCTGTGGCCCCCCGGGGCCAAGCACCCGAAGTCCGAGCACCGTGAGGAGACCCGGCAAGGGGCAGGGTAGGAGATGCCACAGTCACCTGGCCTGGTCCACCCACGCGGCCCACGCCCAGTGAGCCTCAGGGCACCATTCCCGCCTCTGAGTGCACGGTGGCATTGTTCCCCTCTGCTGTCCACCGGTCCCCAATTCACAGGTGACAAAACTGACACCCAGAAAGGAAAGGATTGGCCAAAACCACCCTGAAGAAAGGAACCTTCAGACAGAACGGGAGAAAGACAGGCAGACAGGGAGGGCTGCTCCCAGGGAAGGGGCAGGTGCATCCACTCTGAACCCTCACAGAAGTCAACAGGCTACTTGCCAAACTCCTACTGATGCTTCAAAACCCTATCTCCCATGACCCTCTACATACAGCCTTCTCTTCAGCAGAGATCCCTCCAGCAGAGCCCCCAGTCCCTCTCCAGGTTCTCCCCACCCAGGCACCTTCTGTCCTGTACCTGCTTACCCGGGCAGGGCCAGAGCCGAGGTGTCCCAGAGCCAGCGTCACCAGCTGGGGGCCATCCTAGAGGACATGGCAAGGAGCTGTGGACGAGTAGATGGGGACGGAGTGGACACAAGAGTCACTGGAGGAGCCGGCTTATTGTGGCACACGGACCGGCTTACTGCTGGCGCCAACCGTGCCTGGCCGGTGTCAGCCTGCTCCCACCGCCACGCATTGGCCCCTGGGCTGACCACCGCGTCCCCCACTCCTGGCCATCCTCAGCCCTGAATTCAGAGACCCTTCCCCGTTCTTGCCGTTGGGTGGCTCATCACCTCTGCAAGGCAGCCCCCCAGGACTTCCCGCCTTCCATTCTGCCAAGAAAATGGTTCCTTTAGGGACTGGAAAACTCCTACCCATGCATCAAAGCACCAGCTCCACAGGCCTCTCCCCGCCAGAGCCGGAGACCCCTCCAGCTCCAGCCCACGGCCTCTCCCGGGGGCCCTGGTCCCCTCCGGCCCGGCCCACGGCCTCTCCCCGGGCCCTGGTGCTCTCCAGCTGCGGGAGCTCCTGGGAGGCACCTATAAGGGCTTCTCATTCAGGCCCTGGAGGGAGTTACGGTCCCCCCACGACTGCCCCTCACCCTGGTGTGGGAGGGGGTCAACTGAGACCCGAAACGGTGAGGGACCCGCCTAGGAGGCCCAGCACGGGAGCGGGCAGGGACGCTAGGTCCGGCCTCGGCTCCCCGGCGTGTCGGGGCGAGCGCGGCCCGGGAGGGGTCGGGGCGGCCGGGGGGCTCCGGAAGT